TTCGGGTCGAGGGTCGGTATTTTTTAGAATTGGGGGAATTTGTCTGTATATTATTTCAATCAATGAGCATGTATATATAATATGGAAAATGTTCCGTCAGTTTTAGCTTGATGTTTCAAGAGAGAATTATGGGAGAACGTTGAACGCTATTCATTCAGTTTGGTACTCTGTGTACAGATGGAATCTTTAATCATCGAAACGCGTTTGTGTCCGACACACGCACTATCAACTTCTATTGTGCCTCTCTTTTCTATCACATGAAACACCCGACTTGCCTCTCGTTGCTGTTCATCAAGTATTTTTATCGATACCAATATGTGTGTTACTGGAGACAAAGTGTACGTACGGTATGTATCGTTTTTAGACACGCAGTGGACCTATAAATCATTTTGATAATATGTTGTTGCTACCGATTGCTTTAAATTATTCAGTGATTAAAATTGTTGTTGGCGCTAGAAGTCTATCAGTTTATTTCTTTTTTTAATTCTATTAGAACTGATACTTCATTTGGAATCTAGCTGTGTTAATTTTTATTTTTGGGAACACGGGTTTTAATCCGCCAATCGTGACATTTGTCTTGCGTTTCAATTTTGCAAAATCTTGCGACGCGCAAGTCGGAAGTTTTTCTATATCGATCGCGCACTGGGTGGGTACGGTGTGGTAAGTTACTGTGAACTGTTAATGATTCAATACTTCAGTTGTGAATCATATTGTTTAGCATTCAAATTCACTAGCTCAAGACTCGTGAATCATCATTGTCACAGGACCTGGTAAAGCTAAGGAGTGCCGTGTACCAGTACAAATAAGTTACGATGGTCTATAGCAGTGGTTCTCAAACGGTGAGACGTAGACAATTTTTGAGGGGGTGTGAAGCTAAATAAAAATAAATATAATTTTTGAATTCGATCTCATCCGCCTTATTTTGGATATTTACATTTCTTTATTGTTTAGAGATTGCACAGAGTTGTTGTGCTTAGGGTAAGTTTAAGAGGTTAACTTCATGATGTTAGTTCACAGATATCTAGAACCCTCCATACAATCGTTAACATGTTTACGACCTTGAATCTTACTCGTGTCCAAATATTTGAGCATTGCTCTCTTGTTATGTATGGTATTCACATTTAATTTGAGTAAATTATATTTCAAAGCTGGCGAACTGACTAGTTCTTTTGCAGAATATGGCATTTTGGCTATAAAATTGAGAGCGCCGTAATGTGAAAAGTATATTAGATCAATTATTTCATAGGATAGGATTTACATATTTATCCCGGGGAGAGAAAAGCCAATAAGACAGCATAATCACATGGCAATCACGACCTTCCGTCTGATTACCAGTCCATGTCGGGTATGATAATTGTTTGCTAGTTATTCGTTTCAGATGCATGAGGTTGATGGCGGAGTAAGTGAACCACCCAACGGCTAGGATGAATCCAATAATTTTCTTGCACATAATTATCCCTGAGGAGAAGAGCTATAGATCGTTTTATCATTATGTTCATGTTCTTATTCTTGTTGTTATGATAAAATCGATTTTCTCATTGACTACCAGACCAATTTCTTTGAATATTTCAGTGGTAATAGATTGCATTTTTTGCTAGAAGATTATTACCTAATTTTATTTCAAAAATTTTCTATGAGATTCTTTCTACGTTTTTTGTTTGCGATTACGTCATAAAGATATGAAAAAAAATTGCACACTTTGTGGCGGTTCCTTCCGCGTTCGCGTTAGTGGTCAATCGGAGTCGTGAAGACCGCGGTTCTAATAGTCTTCACTGCGACTCATTGCATAAAAATACTTCGTTTTGGCTTTTGTGTTCATATATTTGAGCATCATATATATCAAAAGCTCTAGGTAACAAAGTTGATGAGTATTGGAGCATTTCTTTTGCAACTTAGAAGAGACACATGTTTTTGTATTTTAGTATTTTCAGTTTGGCGAATGAAGATGTATAAAAAATACGAGTTGAGGAATTACATAATATTTCTACAGCTTTATTTTATAAAACTTCTATTCCTTTTGACAATTTGCTAGTAACCGAGTATCCCCATGCAACGAGATCATATTGAATATGAGATCGAAAGAGAGCAAATTATATCATACGCAGAACTCTGGTGGGAGAATATGAGCTTTACATAATATGTACAACACTTATATCAGGACCGAAGCGACTTTATAAAATTTATGTGCGAAAACACGCGTATGCATATAAATTGATGAAAAACGTTCAACAACAACGACAATTTAGTAAAACCACGCATGGGTCCTTTTTGTGTCCCGGTTTGTTGTGTTGAGTTAAGACCTCAAAACCGAACCGTACAGATTCCAGTCGTAATCAAAATATAGTCTACGTTGCAGTTGCAGGAAATTTTAGAAGTAAGGTTTTGATAAATTCTTAATTTGAATTGAAGTACAAAATATGAGTTTTGATGGGATAATAAACCATGGTCCGGCTTACTTCTTGCTTCAAATGGCCTACACGGCTGTGTAGTGCTATATATATCCACAAAACTTTCACAAGTAAGGTACGGACTGTATCAAATAGCGTGATGAGCAAATTACGTATATGCATGTAAATATTGTTGGAGTATATGATTCGGCCTGGTATTAGACCTGTATGTATATATAAGAACCTAAAACAATAAATTCATAATTAGTCATCTTTAACGCATGACGCTGCGGAAGACTCTAAATGATATACATTGTACAGACTTGGAATTAATTTCAAAAGTGCGCTATTTCACCAAGAAAATTCCGAGCAGTAATTCATCCTCCGCAGCGACCGGATGCAATGTCTTAATTTCTTTTTTGTCTCATCGCCAGTAGAAAAGGCAATTCACTGTATATACCAAAAAACAAGAGAGCTATGCTCAAATATATGAACACGTCACAGCAGATACCACAGTCTACAACTATATTGACACCAAGCGAAGCAGTACTGCAGTAGTTTACCTTACCTTTAGCATTGCCGGTACCGGTAAGCGGTAACCTCAAAAAAATTCCTAGTTTCGAGCATATACACCTCAATGGTTTCGAGTAGCGAGAATTTCCGGAATCGGTCGTCACGCTTTGCGGATTAAAATCCGTGTTCCCATGATTGAAAAGTGATACAGCGAAATTTTGAATGAAATTACAGATCTCATAAGATTCATAGAAAATTTAAGACTAAATAAAAGTAAGAGCCTTCTGGCAAAAAAATCAATCTGTAAACACTGAAAATTTCAGAGCAATTGGTCCAGTATTCGAAGAAAAAAGCGATTTTATCATGATGAGGGAGGAGAATAACAAGAACAACAATATAATATTGAAACGATTGTTATGTGAACTATCGTGTCCAATAATGCAGCTAACTTAACATTCAGTACTTGGTGGGTGGTATGTGGGAGGATCTTCCCTCTGGTCTTCCTCGGTAGCGACCGGATGCAATGTCTTTGGTTTTAATTCTCTAAGTTTCTGCCTTCTATCATCGTATGTATCATGGTATATGAAAGGAACTTCTCATTCAGACAATTTTCAGTCTTCACGATCTCACGTTTTAGCATGTATGTATATCCATGTATTGAGTTAATTGAATAGTACAGAGGTACAAAAGTAGTAGAGTAGTACAGTAAAGTATCAAAGCGTATCAAAAACATCATACTTGAAAAGTCAGCAATGCATCGCAAGATCTTATCCGTATACTAAAAATGTTAATCAATTGAATATTTCTTTGTCAAAGATGTTTAAGTGTGTCACCAAGAACTAATATGCTCTCTTTCGATTCACAAAAAACTTACTTCCTCTTTACAGTTACGTCATTATTTTTGTACGTGGATTAATATGACTACCAGTAATATTTTTCTTATATATATATATATAGGCTACCTCTACCGCTTTTGCGAAATAAATAAATGTCAGCGAATGTGTTGAGGGAGTTCATGTGCCAAGAAGAATTTTTGACGCACTTTTCATGAACGTGGCGTTTGTTAGCGATGTGTAATATTCAATTAGCGAGAATGCTCACAAACAAAAAGAACTGGGCGAACTTGATCATTTTGCAATTTTGACATTGGCATCTGTGTTAAAAGTCGTTGTATAAAACGAAGCGGGAACTGCCGTGTTGGTGCGTCAGCGCTACATTGTTTTTCTTGGAGCAAAAAATGGCTTGTAAGTAGTCAATTACGGCCAGGAAAACGGAACCGTGGTAAAGGACAACGAAATTCTGTTATACAAGTTGGGCACAGTTTTCAAAATCCAAGACTTCCCGACATCCGGTTCAATAAAAAAAACACCCTATTTGTCTTTGAAATGATGGCGTCTGACAAGACGGCAGATGAGTTAGATCCTGTCATGCTTGTCTCGTGTTTTTTTTGCCAAAACTCTCGAATGCTACAGTCAATTTTTTTCTTTTGGTGAATCGGATTATTTTTTTCCAAGGAATCTGATGGTGACTTTTCAGATTGCGCTTCCTTCTAGTTTATTGCACAATGCCGAATCGCAGATATGGAGGTCCAAACTGTCTCGCAGGGGTTTGCTCTCACTGTTATAATTGATGTCTTTCAATGTGGGAGCTATTCTTGGAATCATAAAACTGTGCCGTACTAGTAAAGTTATTATCCTCGTATCGATAAAAGTAAGTAAATTTTGTTAGGTCGATAGGTAGCAGGCGTACGGCCTTTCCTGGTTTGTTAGAATAAATTTGAATGTAAGATGAATAACTTAAGTACGGAGTAACAGAACGGATTCTGTGCGTAATACGCGTAGAACAATACACGCCACAAATAATTATAGGTTAACTGTATGGAGCTTCCGTCACATCTATTGTAAGTTCTAACGAATTACTGATATTTTTTGATCATGTCTTTGTCAAAATTGGTGATTCATATCCCATGACCTTACTTTTATAATATGCGTACGTTCGCACTTATTCACCAAGTGTGACATGTATAGAAAGCATTTTCTTTTTTTTCTATCACACTTTTTCCTGATAGTTTCACACCTGCGTGGCATTTAAAAATTTAATATACCTGCTGGGTTCTCTCATTGTGTTCTTTTAGTAACAGCTAAACATAAGAAATATTGAAAGTTGTAGCCGGCATACTAATTAGGTGGAATCAGTACAAAATATGTGGCCCCAAAATGTGGTGTGGGGAGTTTTTTTATGGGCAACACTAGTTGAAAAAAGTTTTATGATGAATCTTGCTGTGAATGAAACAGCAGTTACGCACATGTCGCCCCAGACTAGAAATGTGGAATCTGAAATTAGTTATTATGGATATCATCTAGATTTATTCACAGACAAGAATAATAGATCAAGGTACGTATCTCCAGCAATAACTTGGCATATTTAGAATAAATATAATTTTGTATAAATATTATTCTATCTATATTATGAAACAGGCCTTCAGGGGGGTTAACGCTATAGAATTAAGTATGGGTTTCAGATATTGAGTATATGCAAATCTTATAGTGTTCTTGTAACTCGACTTATTTGCGTTTGGAACATACGTGGTTCAGGGTAACTCAATGACTAAAGATGTATCAACTTACAACTCTAGATTCTAATCAACTACGTTTGTGTTTTTGCCATGAAATTAAATAGAATATTTTAAGTTGTATTTTTTATTATCTGTAAGATAAGACTTGTGGAACAATATAACAAATTCTAATTACTTTTTAAGGTTGACAATCGGTGCACCCAAAATGATTGATCCTGAATCAATGGCATTACATAAAAGAAATACAACATCTGATCATGGTGAGAGGCTCTTTTCCAACTACAAGCTAATTTTAGAATTTGAAGTATTTAACATCAATTTTCGATATGGTAGTTAATCTGCAATCTTTCTCAATTTAAATCGTAGCAATGTATGAAGTCTAACAGCATTAAGTTGGCCCGCCTGGCAGATCCGACATGGCGGACAAAGCTAATTTGAGGCGCTGGGTGTGAATCTCTGCAGAATGGTACGAATACTGATAAAAAGTCCTATCAGTACGGCTTTTTTGTGTCTCTGCAGTATAAGAATGTGAGAAAATGGAGAAGTTTAAAAAAGGGGTTGGGTTAGACCGATAGACTGTAGATTACATGAATGATTGGAGAATACATAAGATTATATATATCGTTATTTCAGAGCCAAAAGGAGGCATTATGTCATGTGAATTCGATTCAACTATAGATAATGGTATTGCACACAACTGTACGTTAACGGATTCGTCCAAGTTACTTCCGGGAGATAATTTTGGAATGTTCGGGGCATCGAAATCTGGCGGTAACTCGATGGTTGGTTGCCACTTTTATATTAAACGTATCTCCGTACTAGGATCTCTCTTTTTCAAAGTGACGAATATTCTTTCTTAAACTGTTCATTGTGTATAAACCATTGTTTTGTAGGCATGTTCATTAACTCGGAAACAAGATTGCGGTAACGCGTCATCTACTCCTGGAATTTGTTTTGAATCATCCGACTTCGGTTCGATCTGGCAAAAAGATGACCGAACAATATCGTTAGGTATGAAATACTAGTGTATCACATCTTCGCTCATATAACTTTCATGTCTATTGGATGCTATAAGTAGTTCAGCTGCTAAATCCATACTCATCTATATTGAAAGTGTTCTAAAAACCTAATTTCCGACGTCAGAAATGGCCAATACTGGTTCCCCGCGACTTCCCTTCCCAGTAAAAATGTGTGTTTAATTTTGGCAATTTCGTATGTTATTCTTTACTGGATGGAAAAAATAAACTTGATTATGATTACGGTATATTTAATTGAAAAAAAATAAATAAAATAAATATAATTGCATTGGCGTTAATAAAATACAGGGTTTATCATATTTACGAAACTCTTCGTACTTGACCTAACCGATGAATATCCACATACTGCAAAGTAAGTTCATGCAGTGTAGGTCGCAAATTTTGACAAGGACGTCAGCAAATACCGGGAAGTGTTTCAGTAGAAATTAGAGAATATATCAAACTAAACAAACATTGCACCCGGGTTACCTATAGTTCTCCGTAGCATTGTGTGCGTTCGTTCAATGACTCAATATAGTTGCGCGTAATATTATTTCATAATAATGTTGAGGTCAAATTGGCTCTAGGAATCCATGAAAGAATTGTGGTGGATGATTCCGTTTCGAATCTATATTTTTGCATTGAAATTTTCTCGTTTGAAAATAAAATACCCTATACGGACAATAAATTTAGGCTGCCCTGGAACAAATGTTGAAGTTCTTTTTGTACTGGACGGATCGGGGTCAGTTGGGAATGAAAGTTTTGATATAGTCAAACAATGGGTGAAAAACATAACACAGAAGTTGGACATCGACACAGGAAAAGTTACTGTAGGCGTTGTTCAATATTCACATTATTTTGATACGTAAGTATATATATATGTATTATATATTTAAAATTGAAATTAAACCTTGAGTGAAATTGTTAGTATGGCTGATCCTGAATCAAACTATAATATCGGAGTTTTGAATACTGAATTAAATTTCACAGAAAATCTGGATACTCTTGTAGTACTCAGTAATCATAATCTAGGTATAGACTTCATCACCAATATTTGGTTCGTGAACTATTCGACGATGCACGGAAGATTTTTAAATAATCTCGTTTCGAAGGATATAATTATGAATGTTCTGAATTTGGTTTGCTCTGTCCCTTTTGTTGTAATGTGTAATAATCTGATAAGTTTTCGTATGCATCAATAATTTCTAAACATTTATATTTCATTTATAACTTTGCACAGACAAGACATCAATGAGCAAAGGTATATAAAAACACATATTAAAATTGGACAGTACAAGACTTATGAAAAATTAGCCGTGAGTAATGTTTTTTTTTTATCACACTATACTTTATTTAGCATTACATGTCGTGAACGCTCGTTTAGTCGCGGTTCTTGGGAAGCAGATGTCAAAAACTTTGATCAAACCTTAGATATGGTTGTTTTCATCGCCCATTTCGCAATATTTGAAGTCTTTTCAAAATATATCATTTCATTTCATCATATAGGTCGAAATCGATCGGATTAAGTTAGATGGATATACAACGTATACTGGAAGAGCTCTACAAAAGGTCGTTTACGATTTTCAGAATACTTTTCATTACAATGAATCCACTACAAAACAAATTATGATTCTACTCACTGATGGGAAGTAGGTTACTTTGTTTGACTATCTAAAAGTAGAATCAATTTGTCCATAATTTTGAACGAATATCGAGTTTTCCCAACAGAAATATCAAGACATAACCAGAAACATTTTTTGCAAACTATCAATACATCTATTTCGTGTCCAATATTTGACCCGAATATTTGGATGTGGTGATATCTATAATGGCTTACATAGTCGTCACTTCAGTTTCTTTGAGTTGTTTTAAATGTTGCATTGTTGTAAACCTCTAGCTAGAACAATTAGTCCTAAAACCTTGTACTTCATTCTGCCTCAAAGTTCTATTTCCCTTCTTTCAACCTCGGTGTATCTTTTCAAATAAATAACACATATACAGAGCAACCGACGCAGAAAATGTGACGAAAAATGCACAGAATTTGCGCGATCTCGGAGTTTTACCATATGCTGTTGGAGTCGGAAACGAAGTAAACATAACTGAACTAAATGTAAGAAACATGGATGTTGTAAGTTTTAAGTAAAAATACTTAGGTTTGAATAAGCAAAATCGGACTGAAGTTGACTTAGTCACTACTAATCTCTTGATAAATTCACTGAATGTGCTACAAAAACTAGAATTGCAATCGTTATGACGAACCTGACCCAAAGTCGCAAACTGATGAAGTTTTTGAACAGCTAACCAAATCAATTTAGAGCGTTAATCACATTTAATGGTGACTTGAACCGCTCAACGAAACGTTCATCCTTGACATTGCGATTCCAAGCCCGATTCTGGCCTGTAGACTGTACACACAGGTTTATCTTCAAATTCTATTTTTTTACTGATAATGCTTGGCGTTTTGTCCGAATATTGGAATTTTAACATAATACAGCCTCGCGATCTATTTCAGAGGTAATTTTATAAGTACGCAAATCAAGCTTCATTAATATATTTTCCAGCTAGTGAAAAACGTAAAACTTTGACTATGACTTTTGATTTTATTTTTGTCAGTTAATTGCAACAGGTGACCCTAGGGGTAACAATACTCGGGTGCTGATGACGGGAACATTTTCTGGACTTGATGTAGTGGCCAAAGAATTGGAATCGACCATCACCGCTGTTGCGTTGGAAGGTAATAATATTATACCGCTATGGAATTAACTAATACAATGATTTTATGAAAAGTATATAAACATTGCATCAGTTAATAATATATATATTAAGCATAATAATTTAATTTTATATAGCATAATAATCTTAATAATAATTCAAGGAGCCAGCTCCGGACAAAACACCGCCGGTAGTACGATGGAATTTGGAGCGATGGGAATATCTATTGCATATAGTATATTGCCTAACGTGAGAAAAAATCAGACGGTGAGTGAACATTCAGATAAAGTCAGGTTTATTGACTGGCTGCCAATTATGAGAAACGATTCTACCTCACAATTCTTTACTTTACAACCCCATTATTCTGATTGAAAAGCGCAGACAAAATCGAATGAAGTACATTTTTTATAGGATTATCGAGAAAAACTTTCCAAATTTGCCATTCTTATTGCGACTTAATTAACAATTTTATAAACCATTAACGGCAATATCTGTGTCGGTATGTTACGAATGATCGTTGTGATGAAAATGACCCGTTATCCGTTTCTTATACTTGCAATGTTTCTTGTTAAATGTGAGTCGTGAGATGGGCACGAAGGATTTTTTTATGAAGTTTGTGGGCGAATGTGTGTGAGTGTGAGTAGATTTTGTTTTGCCGATCGGTTGCAGGCAGCCTTAGCATTCATGTATGTTTCGCGCGCGATCAACGTTGGCGTTCGTGAAGAATAATAAACTGAAGAGTATTCGACAGAGCAACTGCGGGGATTTAAAGAAAATAGGTATGAGTAAATCCATGTCACAACTTCAGTATTAGCGTGATTTTAACTTCTAACTTATTTTTTCATGCATCCACTAATAAAGCAATATCCAACTGTGAACCGAAAAATGCAACTGAACCCTATTTTGGTGCGTTGTCTTTTTATCGGCAAACGAGATAACTACGTCGCTTGAGTTAAATCTTCTAAATTTCTTTTTATTCACCCTTTCTTGCGTTTTGACACGATAATCTGCATATTGTATTTTATTTTAGAATAATTAAATATCTAATAGATAGATTTGTACATCTTTGAATTTCAAAATCAAGTAGTTTCTGTTACTAAATTTTGATAAATGTTCTTATGTGCCTTATTTGTTTTCAACGTGGAGTGTATAGGTACTTCCTTAAAATTTACAATATCTAGCAAAACGCAAATATCCAATTGTAACCCTATGTCACTTATGCGAATATTTGTGCTCAATATTTCTAAAATTTGGTAATTTTTTCATTTCAAGATTCAATAAATGGATGCATTGTACATCGATTTTGTTAAATCAGTCTGCAAACTTGTGAAACGCAGACGGTCTTGACACGACATTCGTGAGAGTTAAAAGAAAAAGTAAATACCTCCATGCAACGTCGTCTGGATTAAACAAGGAATCATAAGACTTATGTGATATGTCTGTCTATTCGAGTATATCAGAAACAAACTCTGTTTCAAAAAGTTAAATCCACAACCAATTTACTTTTATTGTCGTTTATAAATTACATATTTGAGTTGTGAATGTGGAATTGTTAAGTGATTGAAATTAAAGAATGAAGTTGGTACAAAAGCCTGAGTCTTAGGAAGTTTAAATTACTGAGTAAATAACATTTCTCCATTTTATATCTTCCAAGTTAATCCTAATAGAATTCCAATGCTAAAAGTTTTAGCCCAGCTGTTGAATTGATCATCTTTGACGAATATTTATATGTTTGCATAGATTTCATCCTATCAATTGTCACTTTGCAATCTGAACGTAAGCACAAACTTGTAATGAATTAAAAAATTAGTACTTTGATGTCAGGCTGTCATTCATGTTTTTAATGCCAACTACATCATTAGAAATAAAAAATATCATACGCGAAATGAAGCCCAAGTCAAGTTTTGGAATGGATGGAATTCCATTCAAAATATTGAAATATGTTCCAGAACACATTGCTTATATTCTGACATATATATATATTTTCAATCTTTCACTTTCTACTGGATTATTCATTAAAAGCTTCAAGACATCTAAAAGTTTTTCCTCTTTTTAAAAAAAGTAGTGTTCCAGATCTCGGCAACTATAGACCCATTAGTCTTTTGCCATCGTTTTCTAAGATTCTTGAAAAATAATGTATAGTAGAATGTCTAACTACTTTGAAACCAACAATGTTTTCCACTCGCATCAATTTGGTTTCCATAAGCAACACCCCACTGTTATGGCTGCTAATGTTTTGGTAAAAAAAACTAACCAAGGCGTTTGAAGGCAAACAACATGCAATTGGAATATTTCTTGATATTTCAAAAGCCTTTGACACGCTTGACCATTCCATCCATCCTTTTATAAAGTAAGCTCTATCACTATGGAGTTAGAGGCGTCCCATTCAATTGGATCACAAGCTGCTTGTAATAAGGGAAACAAGTTGTCTAATATGACAATTCATTCTCTACAAATATTTGTGTCAAGAAGCACGGAATTACTCAAGGATCTTTATTTTGCCCATTATTTTTTCTAGCTTACATTATTGTTATGTCTAGGTGTCTGAAATCCCCTGAGTCAATCATGTTTGCTGATGACACTGACCTGATTGTTCATGGGAAAAACATTGAAGATCTATTCACAGTTGCAAATCAAAAACTAGCCAACATTCATAGCTAGATGTTGGTTAATAAATTATCTCTGAATGCTAATAAAACTAAATTTGTATTATTCCACCCAAGCAAGCATAAAAATGTGAGTTGTATAAAACCACTGCTGCTCAATGGCAATGAAATTGAAAGAGTGAAAGAAATAAAAATTCTAGGAGTTATCTTTGATAAAATTCTGTCTTGGAAATCACAAATGGCACATGTTAATAGTAAATCAAAAAGAAACCTAGCATTTTCTGCCAAAGTATCCCAGTATGTTGATCAATCAGCTTTACTAGCAATGTTTCAATCATTACTAATCAGCCATCCATATTTGATATTGTTGTTCAGTCTGGCTTCATGGTAATAAAACACTCGTCTCAAAACTGCAGAGTATTTGTAATAATTTTTTACGGATTGTTTTTGGTAAAAGAAAACTTGAAAGTACTGTAGACCAGGGGTTCTCAAACTTTTTGTGTTGCGGAGCCCTTGAAAAAGTTGACTATTATCCACGGAGCCCCAAAATAAATGTTAGAATTGTTACTTTCCGAATAATATTCCTGAGTAAGTCAAAAGTACTGTACTTATTTTAAATGCTTAACCTCTTTTAATAGGGTTGATACAAGTCATAAATGAATCTAAATGTAAAAGATGAATTATATATACTAAAGCTGTAAACTTGATACTTGACAAACATATTAATAAATTAGGGGTCGGATCTTTTAACTTTAGATATTTTTGAAAGACTTAAAAGGCCGCAAATAACGTACTCGATTGCATTTTGTTACGATCGCCGATTGTTTTCGTCAGCATGGCGGTGTTTATTCTCCCTAAATCAAAAATTTTCCTCGACATATACATGTATGATGTATTGTTCCACAATGACGACGAGTATTGCTTTTTTGTTCTCGTGGGGAATTATGAGTTCAATGTGAAAAACATGTTACCATATTATAGTCACCGGAGACGAAATGCTAAAAATAATAATAATAAAAGGTAAATCCGCAACTCAAATTTCTTGATTGAAAAGCGGCATACTGAAATATTAAAACTAAAACTTAAAATGGGAGATAACACTATAAGTTTTGTTTCAGCAGACTCACGTCAGATTAAAAACACGTTCATACCCATTGTTAATCAAAGATTTGGTGTTATGTTGGGTTTTCTTTGGTTATTCGTCGTAACTGCGAACCGAAACACAGTCAATTGTGCGCGCGATGTGCCTATTTTTCCATTCTGAAACTACCGACGGAGCCGCATGCAATGAAATAAATTTCAATCTGTCGTATTTTGCCCCGACCTCTTGTTTTTTAAACGGCGACACCTTGCTCGTGAGTGCGAAAGAACAAAATCAAGCTTGACAAATCCCAAGATCGCAAAAATACGACTGCAATTTATGTATAGTTGGCAGTTTTTCGCGTATTTTATGTTATTTCAGAATAGTAGTCTTTCATTTCAGTAATCCTAATAGTAAAATTAGCCAATTCAGTATTTTAAAAAGTAATCGAATAGCTCGCGGAGCCCCTGGGTTTCTAATTCAGTATTTTAAAAAGTAATCGAATAGCTCGCGGAGCCCCTGGGTTTCTCTCACGGAGCCCTGGGGCTCCGTACGGATCACTTTGAGAACCTATGCTGTAGACCATTACTTCAAATCGCTAAATATACTTAAGGTTGAAGATATGATGGAATTTGAAGTTTTATCATTAGCTTACGACTTCCATAATAATGCGCTACCCAATTGCTTTAATGACATGCAAAAATACTCCCGACCGAAGAAGTAGTTCTGATTTATTCGTACCTTTCATGAGTAAATCTGTGAGTCAGCATTCCTTGTCTTTTACTGGACCCAAACTTTGGAGTTCTCTTCCCTTAAATTTGAAGACTTTAAAGTCCAAAATATTTTTTCAAAAACAAGTCATGTCTCATTTAGTTTCCAACTATTAAAAATTACTATTTGGAAACTAACTTCTAGTGGTATTCGATGACAAAAACTTGAGACACTCCACACTTGCACATTATTGTTTTAATGAGAATGTTGGATAGCTATGATAATATTGTTATATCTTACCATAACTGGCCAGACCTAGACTGGTACCAAAGAAATGGTATTGTGACATGCATGAGTATACTTTTTAAATATATAGGTAGCTGACATACCTGGATGGTATTTTCTTTTAAATCTTACCTTTTTCTTGGTGTGAGGTCCTTTTTGTCACATATGCATGGTTTTATGTTTGAGTGGTGGTATAAGGGTTGTAGATAGTATAATATGGTTCCTGCAAGGTTACTAATTATTGCAACTAGGCGAGTAGTAGAGCTATATTGGATTATCCCCATCCAGCTTTTAATTTGCCGTGGGTCATTCAATTTGATGTGGTTTTTATATCATTTATGCATGCATGCATTTTAGGTTAAGGCATGGTATTGGTGTTGAGTTGACTTGATGGCCACGGTATAGATAGTGAAATTTTGAGTGTTTTTGCATGGTGTGACATAACTTCTCTGACCAAGCAGAATGTCATCATATATCGTCTATCCATCGCTATATAATGACAATGCATCCCAGAAGGCATTTGATTTGGCAATTGACTCCATCTATATTCAGCTTGGCAATATGTTTGCAACAGAATCTTATTTTTTACTGTTCACTTCCGGGTAGAAAATCGATCTATTTGGCAGTGGCAACTATTTCAAATTTCTTGATATGATGTGGCAAATATTTTTTTTCCTTTTTTTATTATTTTTGTTTAATATGTAACTTACCACAAGCTTATCGCCTTTTTTTTTAGATAACTTCTCTGTGGTTGTGTGGGTGCGTGTGAGCCTGTGTGATATAATTTTGGGTGAGTGAACACATACGAATTTTTTTTTGGCAATACCTTCCATCTTATATTATGTACGTTTCAAACTTATCTAAGGTTTTATTTGCTCTCCTGATTTTATAATCATCTTTATTTGTTTGTTTTCATCAATCATTTTATTGTAATGTTGATTATGGAGTCGAAAAAAACTTATACTTATATTCATCTTCAACCTGAAGCATATTTAGAATGAATTTAAAGTAAAACACGGCACAAAGAGATGTTACTAATCAAATGAGAAAAAAAAACATATGTTGCGAATCGCTGACGTCAGCAGTAAGCGGGTCGATCGTGTGTGTGTGGTATGAAAGTATATGGCGCTTGAAGCATTACATTGAATTGTAAGTTATGTTACATTCACTGCCACTTTAAAGATTTAGTCTATCTACGAGTTGGGATTCCATGGTCGATAGTCTAAGAACCGAAAGAAGGTGGGGATCTAGACACAATATGCTTTTCAACAATATCTTCCTGTGTTTGGGTTTAATTGTTTCCTTGATCGATTTTAGACTGAGACAATTGTTGGATCGACCACGCGTCTTTAAACTATGATGCTACGTCATGTATGATAGCGTTAGTCCCTTGCTTATCTATTGAGATTTCATAACCGAGATGGGCCAGATTTTTTGAGGCGACAGTTGTTTTTTGCAATCTGAATAACGAACATGAGCCTATTGTGGATTTGCTCTATTTAATCCACTAAAGTAAAAAAAAATCGGTTTTTGACTTCTCTGCACATCCTTTTAAAATCACTGATCCTGATGTTGACACTCAAGACGGTGCAATAGACCAGAGTGGTCCAAGGTTGCGAGGTTGGCAGGCCGCAAAAACTTTTTGTCTCGTGGGCCGCAGTCGGATAAAGAAAAGTGATCAAAACAACGCGAGTTCACTCACTTTAAATATATTCAAAAATTTTGAGAAAGATATATAAAACACTTAGTTATTTCTAAATTGAAAGAGAAATACCGTGATGTCTTCGGTATCTTTTGTTGTGTTTGGTTTTGTGATGTCGCTTCAAATTATATTCTTTCGTGACAGATATTACTTGAAAGCACACCACACACTATGGTTTAACGTTGTTGTGGAAATACGTTTCCTCCTAAGTTTACCTTGGTCACCATTTTACACTCATTTTATTACGAATCGTTATATTCGACTGATTTTATTACTTGTAGCGTGAACAGACATGGTGCTATTGTCAAAGAACAACCAAGTCCGACTAAGTTGGGACTTCGGACCCAGCAAAAAAGAAACTGGATCGCGCGGCGCTGAGTTTGCTCTGCGGTTCGTCACTGCTGCATTACGCTTGAAATTCCGTGATTTCAACAAACATGAATCCTGACATCGGGATTATGAAAAGGGTTATTCCCATTTCCCAGTTGGAATATATTAAAAATAACTCAAAAATGTTCTGCCAATAAATACAAATATCTGCCAATGGTTTCGTGCACGGCCAATTTCCATCCTGCCCGCCATAGGCATTGTTCTAGAAAAAATAATAAAAGAAAGAATGCTGAATTATTGCTCTAAATTTAATCTTATCAACAAATGTCAATTTGGATTCCAAGCGAGTCATTCTACCAGCCATGTTATTATAGACCTAACCTCGTATATTTACGATAAAATTGATAAAGGTGAGCTTGTCTGTTGTACCTTCTTAGATCTAAAGAAAGCGTTTGACACCGTTGACCACAACATCCTTATCCAAAAGCTAAAGCATTACGGTTTTCGAGGTACAGCCGGTAATCTATTATGTGATTACCTGCTTGGTATATATCAATTTGTGGAGGTGGATTCTCATAAGTCTCCAATGTTGCCCATTCACTGTGAAGTTGTTCAAGGTTCTGTGTTGAGTGCTCTTGAATTTTTATTATACATAAATGATTTATCGAACTCATCAAATCTTTTAAGCAAATTGTTCGCTGACGATGCTTGCCTTCTCAATAGCGCGAAGAATTTGATAACTCTTCAAACCAACACAAACACTGAAATAAATAAAATACACAATTGGATGACATGCAACAAACTCACAATTAACATTGACAAATCTAAAGTAATGCTATTTAACTCGAAAGCTCGTTCTGGAAATGTAAATCTTACAATCAAAATTAAGGGTATATCTTTAGAAGTTGTCAGCTCATATAAATATCTTTTTATTGACAATCAACTAAAATGGAATACTCATATCACTGACATACATAAAAAATTATCACGATCAACCGGGATTCTGGGAAACTGAGATATTATGAGAGAAGACTCGACACTGCGGACCGTATACTTTTCTCTCTTCCAGTCCCACATTCAATACGCCATAGCTGCATGGGGCTCTGTAGCCCCTACAAATTTGTACAAATTGGAATTTTTACAAAACAGGGCTGTTAGAATCCTCTCTAGAGCACCTGTTCGTTTTAATTTAAATAAGATATATCTCAAAACTAATGTGCTTAAATTGTCTGACATCCACAAGCTTGAGGTTTCTAAAATCATGCATCAGTTCCAAAACAATCGATTACCGGCAGCCTTTGACAATTACTTTTTTACGGTTAGGTCTGTGCACGAACATCACACTCGCTCTTCCGCAAAAATAATTTTTCGTGCCCGCTTCCTCTCAAGTAAATCCCAAAACTCCTTGAAATACAAAAAAGTAGTAACTTGGAATAGCATTCCCCAAACCCTGCGTGATACAACATACAATATGTTCAAAGCTAAATACAAAAAACTCCTGATCTCCACTTACCAATCCGGTGCCGCCACATCTTCCAGTTGATATCATGTCTGAGTCTTGTTTTCTTGCTATTGTCAGCTCAACATTTGACCACATTTCAAGCTGTTGGGTCTTTAATACCTGGAATGATAAATATTCGTATCTTCTTTTTGTGATTTGCTCAAATTCCATTCAATATCTTTCCTATATGGGACCAGTGGCAGGTACTTGGATATAACAGTATCTTAAGCGTATCACCCTAATCTTACTGTGTGCAGTAAGCTCATTTATGCCACGCAATCAATCAATTCCCGGTCTTAAAAGCACCTTAGTTCTACATGGAGCTGGGTCAATCACTAAGACTTCAGTCTCCAAAATTTTAGTCCATTACATGCTATATGATAATAAATGTTATATTTTTTTGCAACTATTGTCATTATGAATTGTATCACCTCTACACTAGTAGTCTACTTACCAATTGTTGTTACATATTTCAATCTTCTGCTCATTGTGGACATGTAATTTGCTACAGTTTCATGTCCTACATAAATTAGATATAAAAAATACTGTAGTATTTATTGTTACCTGTTATTTATTGTCCAATCCATTGAATAGAATCTTAATTTCCTACTGCAATACCGACATCCTTCCGGCATCAGGTTTGACGTTAACTGTACACTCGCATGCAGCCAGTGCTTCAGCTGAGCAGTTGCCGTGGTTACCTTGATGGTGCTTGGAGTCTATTTTTATTTTAACGAGAGACTCTGGATTTCCTGAAAATTCGCTGGATACTTGAACGTTTCCAATATACAATTTTATTTAGTGTGATTATTTTGCTTTTTCATTCATATTCATTTTAAGCTTTCTATTTCATGTTATTTCGTCATGCTGTGTTAGACCCCATCTAGGGTGTCGCTGCTCGATAACCAGTACTGGTTTTTCAGCGTTTCCCTCCACCCTGAAATGCTATTCTTCTTTTATTTTATTCTGTATATGTACCTTGCGTATTTTCAAATGGTGGAAAAAATAAATTACTGATACTGATACGCTAAAATTCTTCAGCAGGCCGCACGAAATGTGTCGGCGGGCCGTGGTTTGGAGTTTGCACCACCCTATAGTAGACCGTAGATTGTAGAACATCTAGACGTAGATCGTCTGGCAAATTTGAAAATTCGTTCACGTCTAATAGACCTTATACATTAAAAATCCATCCTACGCGCAAAAAGAAAAGTGATGTAAACAAAACAATTTTAACATTAGCTCTTATATGGAATGTGATCACCAGAGCAGAAATTTGCATTTTTTGTAATTTTCTAGATATCTTTCATTGTATACGTGAGCAGTTTTAAGGATAAAATATTTTTTAAATTTTTTTTAATATTTTTAGCATGATAAACATGATCAAGATTTTTGATAATCGTTCACTGAAATTTTAATGAGCGCGGTGTTTCCAATGAAGTCATTCTCACTAGACCATGAGATTCTGCCAACGCGCAGTGCTCTGTGGGATATGCGCTCCAACTGCTTGTAATAACAGAATACAGAAATACCGGTACCGGGACCACAACTGGCGTTCAACGAAGGACCTATTTTGTTTTTTATTGGATGGGTTTCAGCCTGCCTAGCCTATTGGTAAATCCAGCCCTGGTGATGGTCCTTACAGCAAATTTCTGGCCCTAATCATTCAGCAAATTGAAATAAATCGTTTTCAGCATTTATTAGCAATGATTAGATATTTTAATTAAACATATAGTTCAACTTAAAACCTGTATAATAATATTATAAATATAGGTTCCATTATTACTGCATTGTGAGAAGGCTTTCCACACTATCAAGTCTATGGGGTGTTAGCGTCTTTCAATGTCTCAGATGGAAACTTCAGTCTTCATTTCTCATATTCTTTTCATTAATGTCATTAGCATTTGAAGCTTGACTGATTCCAATGTACCTTTTCCATTGTTGTTTAATAGAATATCCTAAACGTGACTTCAAATTTTTTTCTCAGTTCAATCATCACATGTTCGAATACCCGAGCTGACTTCTACTGATTTGTTATTAATATACAATTTTTTTTTTATAAATTAACTGTTGTACGTGCTGAGTGTCCACTAAGTGAAAATCTACAAAAAAAGCAGTGGTTTAATAATGGACTACTATTTTTTACCGAATCCAAAAATATTCCGTAACTTAGTCAACCCTTCCTCCAAAGAGTAGCGTTTTTTGTTAAATTGTTCAAACATCTAAACTAACTGTGAAACTTGATAGCGAACACTGGGGGCAGGGGGGAGCTGACTGTGATGGTCGTAGGGCGTAGGCTATCGCTCCCCAGTCTATACCGAATAACTGTGTGTTTTGTATATAATTTTTGATGATTCAATGCTTGTATTCTGGTTGACAAAATAAATCTCCCACTCGTATTCAGTCATGTTTTTTTAAACCTAGTTAGGAGACCGGTATTGTACCGTTATAGGTTGGAGGTATTCATATTTTTTGTATACCGGTACCGTAGAATTTATCCTGCCTATTGGCAGGCTGGCCAACATTTTTGTTCGTAGGCCTATTTACCAAATAATTTAGTTTTCACCTCTTGCAGCCTTGTTGCGATACCGGTAGTTTAAATAACACGTCAGCATACACCTTCAGTAAATGATTGCTAGCTGTACAGGTATAAATGCGTAAAACCAGTAAACAAACGTGATAGAAATGGTATGGGTTATAGATTGTCAATGTTAAACGCTTCCAGTACCGTTACCGTACCCAAAGCGACATTAGCGCCGTATTTGCAGCGCATATCCCACAGAGCACGGCGCGTTGGCAGAATCTCATGGTACAGTGAGAAAAGACATCATCGGAAACACCGCGCTCATTAAAATTTTAATGAACGATTATCAAAAATCTTGACCATGTTTATCATGATAAAAATATCAAAAAAGATGTAAAAAAATATTCTATCTTCAAAACTGCCCACGTCTACAATGAAAGATATCTAGAAAATTACAAAAAATGCGAATTTCTGCTCTGGTGATCACATTCCTCATAAGAGCTAATGTTAAAATTGTTTTGTTTACATCACTTTTCTTTTTGCGCGTAGGATGGGTTTTTAATTAATAAGGTCTATTGGTGGCTGTGCGTAATAAAAACCGTGTGGAATGCAAAACATCAGACGAAACCTTCAAAGTCTATATAGAGATTTTGCCCGTGTATTTTTGATAAGATGTCCAATGTTAGGGGTGAAATTGGGGCTTGCATTCACAACATACAGAACATGTTGGAATCCTCACAAATCTGAAGCATGTCCAAGTGAAACAAAAGTCTTTTTATTAGCCATTACGTAAATCCAAAGATCAATAATTCAACTTCACTGACAACCTCCAAGACATAATCAAGTAATCCACTGGATCTTAAAAACGGCCTTGAAACTCTGAAAAGCAACTTATCCCTCCAGGACGGTATAGGGTAGTGGTTTGCAGCATTTTTGTAGATGGGCCATATAACCAACTTCAGACATCTAGCTGAAACACACAAATTAGTTTTTCATTACACAGCGAATTAAAAAAATACGGTACTCATAATCAACTGACTGGTTAAACGTAATGCATTTTTATCCATGTGAGCACCTTTTTGAATAAAACTGTTTGATTGTGATTTTATGCTTGATGGGAAACCCGAGTGTACACAAGGGCCACATTAAGAGACTTATGTAGTAAGTTATTTACTTATTTAATAGGTAGAATTTTGTATAAATATTATTCTATCGCCAGCCCTTTTTTATGGAACAGGCGTTCAGGGGGATTAACGTCATCTAATTCATTTTGACTACAAGGAAACTGTACAGAGTAACAGAACGAATTTTATGCGTAATAAGTATAGAACAATACACGCCACAGATCATTATAGGTAATCTGTATAGAGCTTCTCACAAATATTATGATGTTGGATGTCAATTGGATTCATCCCATGACTTTTTAATATATGCGTACGCTCGCACTTATTCACTAGGCGTGACATGTATAGAAAGCATTTTTTTTTCTATCGCACTCTTCCCCTATATTTACACCGACGTGGCATTTGAAATTAATGCTGGATTTTTTCATTGTGTTTTTTCGTAACAGCCGAACATAAGAAATATTTAAGGTTGTAGCCGATATACTAATTAGGTGGAATCAGTACAAAATATGTGGCCTCAAAATATGGTGTGGGGAATTTTTTTATGGGCAGCACTAGTTGGAAAGGGTTTCATGATGAATCTTGCTGTGAATGAAACAGCAATTACGCACATGTCGCTCCAGGCTGAAAATGTGAAATTTGAAAATAGTTATTATGGATATCATCTAGATTTATTCACAGACAAGAATAATAGAACAAGGTACGTATCTCCAGCAATAAATTGGCATTTGTAAGAAGTAGAATTTTGTATGAAATATCATTCTACCGCTAGCCCTTATATTATGAAACAGGCGTTCAGGTGGATTAACGCCACCTAATTAATTATAGGTTTCCGTTATAGTGTTCTTGTAACTTGATGTATTTCTGTTCTTAGCGCATGTGGTTCTGGGTAACTCAGTGACCAAAGATGAATCAACTTACAACTCTAGATCCAAAACACTACGTTTACGTTTTTGCTATAAATTATATAGAAAATTTAAATCGTATTTTTATCGTAGTAACCCATGTAGAGAAATATAACAAATTCTAGTTATTTTTCAAGGTTGACAATTGGAGCACCCAAAATGATTGATCCTGAATCAATGGTATTACATAAAAGAAATATAACATCTGACCATGGTAAGAGGCCTTTTATCGACTACAAGCTATTTTTAGAAATTGAAGTATTTAACATTATGATATAGTTAGTTTGCAGTCTTCCTCAATTTAGCTCGTAGTAATGTAGTAGTAAACTCGTAGTAAACCAGCATTAAGTTAGCCCGCCTGGCGATTCGTCATTGCGGACTGAGCTAATTTGAGGCGCTGGATGTAAATCTCTGCAGAATGGTACGAATACTGATAAAAAGTCCTATCAATACGGCTATTTTGTGTCTACGCTGTTTTGGAATGTAAGAAAAGGGAGAGGTTTAAAAAAAAGGGTTGGGTTAGACCGCTAGACTGTAGATTACATGAATGATTGGAGAATACATAAAAATATTACGTATATCGTTATTTCAGAGCCAAGAGGAGGCATCATGTCATGTGAATTCGATTCAACAATAGGTCATGGTATTGCACACAACTGTAACTTAACGGATTCGACCAAGTTACTTCCGGGAGATAATTTTGGAATGTTCGGTGCATCGAAATCTGGCGGTAACTCGATGGTGGGTTGCCACTTTTATATTAAACGTATCTCCGTACTAGGATATCTCTTTTTCAAAGTGACGAATTTTCATTGTTGAACTGTTCATTGTGTATAAATCATTGTTCTGTAGGCATGTTCATTAACTCGGAAACAAGATTGCGGTAACGCGTCATATACTCCTGGAATTTGTTTCGATTCATCCGACTTCGGTTCGATCTGGCAAAAAGATGACCGAACAATATCGTTAGGTATGAAATACTAGTGTATCACATCTTCGAGCGTTTAATTAAAAAAATTTCAACTCTTTGTACTTGACCATGAATATCCACATACTGCAGAGTAAGTTTATACAGCATAAGTAGCAAATTTTAACAAAGACGACAACAATGACCGAAAGTATTTTTGTAGAGATTAGAGAATACATTAAACTAAACGAATGTCACACCCGGCTTACCTATAGTCCTCCGTAGCATAATGTGCGTTCCTATCGAGCAGGAAGTTTTCACTCACATATGAGCTTTTTTAATTCGTTCAATGACTCAATATAGTTGCGCGTATTATTATATTATTTCATAATAGTGTTAAAGCCAAATTGGCTCTAGAAATCCATGAGGAGATTATGGTGGATGATACTGTTACAAGTCTATATTTTTGCATTGAATTTTTCCCGTTCAAAAATAAAATACCATACGAACAATAAATTTAGGCTGCCCTGGAACAAATGTTGAAGTTCTTTTTGTACTGGACGGATCGGGGTCAGTTGGGAATGAAAGTTTTGATATAGTCAAACAATGGGTGAAAAACATAACACAGAAGTTGGACATTAACACAGGAAAAGTTACTGTAGGCGTTGTTCAATATTCACATTATTTTGATACGTAAGTATATATATATATATATATAAATGAAACCAAACCTTAAGTAAAATTATACGTATGGCTGATTTTGAATGAAACTATAATTTCGGGCTTTTGAACATTTACAAAATTTGATTTATTTGAAATAAATTTCACGGAAAATCTAGATTTATTAAATATCATTTAGGTATAGACTTCATACTCAAAGTTTGGTTCGCGAATTATTCGACGATGACGATGCTGATGCACTAATCGAAAGATTTTCGAATATTCACGTTTCGAAGGATATAATTATAAATATCCTGAATTTGGTCTGTTTTGTCCCATTCGTTGTAATCTGTAATAATCTAGTTTTCCTATGTTTTGATAATTTTTCAAACATTTATATTTTATGCTAACATTGCACAGGCAAAACATCAATGAGCAAGAGTTTATAAAAACATATATTAAAATTGGACAGTACAAGACCTATGAAAAATTTGCCGTGAGTATTTTTTTTTTATCAGACTATACTTTATTTAGCATTACATTTCATAGACGCTCGTTTGGTTGTGGTACTTGGGAAGCCAATAAAACTCCAAACACCTTAGATATAGTTGTTCGATCTCATCCCCCATTTTGCAATATTCGAAGTTTTTCAAAATATATCGTCACGCTAATAACCGAATTGCGCAAGTCATTCAGCAGTTTTGAGAAAAACGTAAAAAACTTCGTAATAATATTGTTATGCCATTGAGATTCTATAATTTGCCATGATTAAATTTTTTGATCGTAGCCGGATTCAAGTTAATTTGTATGACGCATTATGTGACGTCATATAGGCGCACTGTGACTTAGGCAGAAATGTGGGTATGACTTGAGGACATACGCAATTTTGCAACTTGACTATATCCACCAGTCCTGAAAACCAAACATTCCAGAAACGAATGTAATTCTCAGTATCTACAATGTCTAATCCCCCAAATAGCCAATCTGTTTCAATTACTTATTTTTTATGTTTAAAAATATATATATTTCATCAATATAACACGCTCTGCACACCCACCGAAATAAGACTAAGATTAAATATAAAGAATAAAACAGCAATGCACCCAATATAAAAGCTAACCACGGTGAATTGGACTTGAACAGTGAATATCACAAGTGCACGCTTTCTATACTGTAGTATAAATTCAAATTTATAAGCGCTAGGCTAGAATCTGAGATGCAAAAACTTGGAAATACTTCGCCTTTGTGACGTCACAATGGTCTTACGGTAACAACGTTAATTCATTATGACGAAACAATTGCACAAATGTGCCTATCATACAAAATCTCAATTTTTATGGGTTTCGGAATTCTTAAAATAAAATCTGAGTTAACAGACAGGTGCGCAGCATTACATAAATATCTATTTTATAAAAAACTCAAGATCGCCAAAAATGACTTACGCAATTCGGGTATTAGCCTGACGATATCATTAATTTTATCATATAGGTTGAAATCGATAAGATCAAGTTAAATGGATATACAACGTACACCGGAAGAGCTCTACAAAAAGTCGTCTACGATTTTCAGAATTCTTTTCATTACAATGAGTCCACCACAAAGCAAATCATGATTTTACTCACTGATGGGCAGTAGGTTACTTTGCTTGACTTATAATGACATAATAAAAAAGATTGCAAAATATAAAAGTAACATATTTCTGGGAATAATAGCTTGGGGTGAAACATTTATCTAAAGGGGACATTTATCTAAAAGTGAAAGCGATTTATCCATAATTTGAACGAATAACGAGTTTTCCCAGTAGCAATATCAAGAACATACCCAAGAATATTTTTTGGGCAAACTATCAATACACCTGATTCGTGTCCCATATTTGACCCGAATATTTGGATGTGGAGATATTTATACAATGGCTTACATAGTAGTAACTAGTAGGCTAATATCCATTTATTCGAGTTGTTTTGAATGTTGCATTGTTGTTAAGCTTTCGAGCAAATGGTCATAAAACCTTGTATGTCATTCTGCCTCAGATTTATATTCTTCTTATTTTAACCTCGACGTATCTTTTCAAATAAATAACACATAATATTGATGTATGAATGATTTGTGTAGACATATTTTCAAATGCTCTACCATATTCATAGAGCATCAGACGCAGAAAACGTGACAGAAAATGCACAGAATTTGCGCGATCTCGGAGTTTTACCATATGCTGTTGGAGTCGGAAACACAGTAAACATAACTGAACTAAATGTAAGAGAACATAGGTGTTATAAGTTTTAACACAATTCCCAGGCTTGGAGAAACAAAATCGGTCTGAAGTTGCCTTAGTAACTAAATTATAATCATTCTCTCTTTGTTCGGCACAAAGCTGACCCAAAGCCGATGTAAGTAAGTTCTGGGAACAGCCAACCAAATCAATTTAGAGCATTAATCACATTTGATGGTGACATGAACTGCTTACCGAACATTTCTCCCTTGCCATTGCGATTCCAAGCCCGCTTCTGGTCTGTACCCACAGGTTAATCCTCAAATTCTATTTTCTCCACTGATAATTCACGGCGTTTATAATACTCCCATTATTAGAATGTTAATATAATATTTCACAGCCTCGCGATCTATTTCACGGGTAAATTTATAAGTGGACAAATCATTAATTAAACAAGCATTATCTATATATCTTTCTATTTTTCTAGACAGTGAAAAAATATTAAAAATTGGCTATGACATTTTATTTCTTTCAGTTAATTGCAACAGGTGACCCCCAGGGTAACAATACTCGGGTGCTGATGACGAACACATTTTCTGGACTTGATGTAGTGGCCAAAGAATTGGAATCGACCATCACCGCTGTTGCTTTGGAAGGTAATAATATTATAACGCTATGAAATTAACTGATACAATGATTTTCAGTTAATTTTATAGTAAGCATAATAATTCAAGTTGATTAAAGCATAATAATACTAATTCAAGGATCCAACACCAGACAAAACACCACCGTTAGTACGATGGAATTTGGAGCGATGGGAATATCTATTGCATATAGCATATTCCCTAGAGTGAGGAAAAATCAGACGGTAAGTAAACATTCAGATAAATCAAGTTTATTGGCTGACTGGTTGTCAATTGTAAGAAACGATTCGACCTCACAATTCTTTACTTCACAAACCCACATTCTGATTGAAAAGCGCATTCAAAACCGGATGGAGTGTTTCTTCAAAGATTCCCAAGCGAAGACCTTAAAAATAGCCTGTACTATTGACAGAATTAACAATTTTATAACCGTTTGCAACATTATCGAGGTACGTTGTGGTAGCAATAATCGAATAAGAATGTTGTAACAACAATCTGTTTTATATATATACTTGTCATGTTTTATATTAAAAAGTGAGTCATGGGATGAGCACGATTGATTTAATTTTGGCAATGTGATTGAGTGTTTGTGTTTGAGTGCGGAAAGATTGTGTTGTGCCGAGCGGTTGCAAGCAGCCTTAGCATTCATGTATTTTTCGCGCGCGGTCAACGTTGGCAGTCATGAAGAATTCCAGATTGAAGAAAGTGAAGAGTATTCGACATAACACCTTGGAAGATTTAATGAGACTTGGTATGCTTTCATCCTTATTAACTATTTAGTATAAGCCCGGTATAAATTTTAACTTATTTTTTAGGCGTCAGCCGATATGGCAGTGGCCATCTGCGGACCGAAAAATGCAACTGAACACAATTTTTGTGCGTTGTCTTTTTATAGTTGAACGAGGTAACTACATCGCTTGAGCTGAACTTTTTCTGCGACCCAACGTTCACCTTTTTCTTACGTTTTAACATGATAATCTGCATATTTTATTTTAGAATAATTAAATATCTGATAGATAGATTCATACATCTGCTAGTAGTTTCAATCAAGTAGTTTCTGCTACTTAATTTTGATAAATGTTCTTATCTGCTTAATCTGTTTACAACGTATAATCTGAAAATTTCCCTTTCACTTATGTGAATATTTGTGCTCGATATTTCTAAAATTTGTCAAATTTTTTTATTTTTAGATTTAAAAAATGAATGCATTGTACATCTATTTCGTTAAATCAGTTTTCGACTTTTGAACAGGACATTTGAGAGAGTAAAAGTTATTTGCAGCGGAGAATAATAAAGACATATGTGCAACGTTACCTGGATTGAACAAGGAATCATAAGACTTATGTGACTATGTCATATGTCTTTTCGATAAATTAAAAACAAACACCGGTTCAAAAATTTAGTTTTGCTAACAATTTACTCTTATTGCCGTTTATAAATGACACTTCTGAGCTGTGAACGTGGAGTAAAGGAGTTATACAAAATTTTTCAAGCCTGAGTCTCAAGAAGTACTGAGTAAATAACATTTCTTCACTTTGTACTTTCCCTGGTAATTCTAATAGGATGCCAATGCTAAAAGTTTTAACCCAGCTGTTTATTTGATCAACTTTGACAAAATATATATATATGTGCATGTATAGATTTCATCCTATCAAGGGTCAATTTACAATCTGTTTCTTATCACTGTAGTCATAAGAAAATCTTTCTATGCCTAACCATTGCAAATGTTTTAAGTCTATTTTTGAAATGTTTTTGCGATTTGGCATTTATGAACCGGTTTATATGTCCAGGCCTATTATTTCTATTCAAAACATTTAACTATGTGCTGTTTATAAGTATTCTGGATTATCTCAACTAATCTCCTCGAAACACATAACCCCCATTGATGTTGTTTTATTTATACCCAATTTTTGGAAACGCAACCAAGAACTGACAAATAACAAAAGCACGTGAACAAGGCAATGTTACAACCATACTTGAAAACGTCAAGTCTAGTGAATTATGAAGATTCATACTACCACCCCGCCAGCCACGCCATTCTGCAGACTCAGACATGCTTGATCAACTGTCCGATTGGGTCTAGTTATGATTAGGATTTTTCCAATCGTAAAATTATAATCTGTTATTGCAACATTGATTTTGCTGTATAGCATTCGATCGGTTATTGGACACGTTTAGTGGCCATAACGATCGTTTCAAAATTTTGTTGTTATTGTTATTTGTCTCCGTCCATTTTTAAAAAATCGCTTTTCTCTTCGAATACTGGACCAATTGCTTTGATATTTTCAGTGGTTGAAGATAAAAATTTTCTCCAGAAGGCTATTACTTTTTTCCCCGCTATGACGTCATCAAAATTATTGCCACTGGGTGTCCATGTATTGCGCTACGTGTCCATATATTTGAGCATAGCTCTCTTGTTTTCAATAGCGTTGTTAAAAAAAATTCCAAGATCTGCAAAAGAATCCCAAGGATATGCATTTATTTTAGCAGAACAGAAGTTAAACATCATGGCCAGGTATGACTGTATAAGGGTGGGGTTTGAACCCCACAGGGTAGATTTTAGGGAAGGGCCAGCAGACAAGTCAGGTAGGTGGTAGAGGGGGGGGGGGACTAAATAAATAAAATAGTTAGAGGTGAAGGAGAAAAAGGCCAACGAACCCCAAGCCCAGAGCACAAGGAAAAAATGAAAGGTCAGAAGAAAAAATCACAGGACTCAAAAATGAGTCAAGTAAGCAGCGTGGAAAAGAGTGTGGTGAGTAAAATAGAAAGAAACCAGCAAGCGGGGGGAGGAACTGAGATCAAAATTTGCGCATCATAAATTTGAAAATATTTCATGGGATTGGAAGGGAAGAGTACTTGCTACAGATATAAATATATGTGGTGAGGTAATACATTTGGTAAATATATATGCCCCATGTAGAACTGCAGTAAGAACGCAAGAAGTGTTGTATGATAAATTATATCGTTTTGTGTATCCATCATTCAATGTATTTTGTATTTTTAGGGGGGAAAACAATGTGCGTACATGATGTTGATAGGGACCGTTTTGGGAATGTGAATAAGAGACCACGTAAGAATATGTTTATGAGTCTCTTGATCAAATGATAGAAGTGTTTCAGTTAGCTGATTCCATTGAATGGTTTACAAATGCGAATCACTTTCTTACATGGCGTAACAACATGGTTTAAGCAAGATCGGACAGATTTTACTGTACTAAAAATATATGTAAAATTAGAGATTATGAATGTAGTCCCACAATTTTTTTTGATCATGATAATTACATAATTGAGGTTGAAGTAGATACGGCAATGGAAGAAAGAGATAGAGGATATTGGAAAAACAATGGTAAAGTTTATGAAAATAATGATTTTATGATAGAACTGAAACATAAATGGGATAACTGGAAAACATTACAATAGCTGTTTGAATCCAAGGTGTCATGGTGGATAGAGATAAAACATAAAATAAAAGACCTAGTAATTGAATTTTCTGTTAAGATGTCCAGAGCAGAAAAAGAGGAACATAGAAGAGATATGGAAAAATTACAGTTAAGGAGTTAAGAGAAGTTAAGGAGAAATTGGAAAATGGAAAAAAAGTTTCGACCTTGCTAAATAAAAAGAAAAGTGAAATAATTAAGAAAACAAAAGAGAAAGATAAAAAACTAAACCCTTTTCAAACAATTGAAAACCAGACATATGAAAACAACAATTAGAAAATTGAGAGACAAAAACGGCACAATGCAAAATAAACTGGAGGACAAAATGAATATTGTTACAGACTTTCACAAAGAACTATATAGTAAAGTTAAATGCAATGAGACACTACAGAATATATTTTTAAATAAGATACCCACAACAGGGGGAAAAAGTGCAACAAGAAGAAAATGAAATATTACAGCAAAATATAGAAAAAGAAGAAATATTTCAAACTAATAAAAGTTTCAAAGGAGGAAAAACTCCAGGACCAGATGGTCTGGGAATAGAATTTTACAAAAAATGCTGGGATGGGACATAATAAAAGAAGAGTTCACATTGGTATTAAAAGTAATGTACGAAGAAGAGCATATACCCGATGCTTTGAAAATTGGATATATAACACTGATAGACAAAAAGGGGACAGAAGATAAAATAAAAAACTATAGACCAATAACTTTATTAAATTCAGACTACAAAATTATCACAAAGATTTTAGCAAATAGAATTCAAAGTTTACTACCTAATATAATAGACAAAAACCAAGCTGCAATATCAGGAAGGAGAATTAGTAAAATACTCAGTATTACTAGAGATGTATGTCAATGTAGCGTACCGGCAGTCTATGTAATAATTATCCAAGTTCAGAATATCTTTCAATTCCAACGGGAAGTGTACACAGGTTCTGAAGCTAGAATAATTTTAAATAGATATTTGACTTCTAAAATTAAATTTGAAAGAAGAGGAATTCGTCAAGATGATCCGCTTAGTATGATTTTTTTTGTAATTGCAATAGAACCACATCTAATATATATAAACACAGAAAATAATATTCGTGGAGTTCGTGAAATAATGAATTGAAAAAAAAGCATTGAAAGTTATTGAAAGGCATGAAATAGCAACAGGTATGAAATTAAACAAATCTAAAACAAAATTAATGAGACTTGGAATTTGGAGACAAATAAACCCACAACAAGACATCAATGAGGTTTAATCCATGGAAATAATGTTACATTTGGGAATATAGATATTCGTCAAATTAATTGGATGAAATGTTTAGAGGAAGCAAAAAATGTTGTAAGAGAATTACAGGATACAGGATTACATTACATATCAAGTTGGCTTTAGAGAAGGCAAATGTATATTAGTACAATTAAAGGTGTTGCCGCAGTTTCTATATTTATTAAAAGTATTTCCGATGCCAAATTCTATAGAAAAAAAGGTGATTGACACGGTGGAAAAATTTGTATTCAATGGGAGAAGCATACTGAAAATAGGGAATTTGTGCGAACCAAAAAATTTGGAGGGTTATGATATTATTAACATACCCATTTTTACAATGTGCATGTACATTTGTAGTGTCTTAGATTATTTTATAGCTAGGGAATGTGATCATAATGAGGATTACAATCATATTTGTATGTCCTTTGTTGAATACAATATTGGACAACAATCTAGTGCATTTTGGGGGATTAGAACTAAAAATACATGTTTACATAGATTTTGTCCTCAAATTGAGTATAGAGTAATATTGGAATTTTTGAGAAAACATAACATAAGTAGTACAGATATAAAAAAAAAGGTAAACATAAAACTATTTATAAAAAATTGTTATTTCTATGACTGGGGATTCATTAATTTCACTACGCAATTGTAATTTAAATATTGCATGTGAGAATGTTCATAATGATATTCTGGCAAACTATATGAAAACTTTTAATTTCAAGTTGGAATAAGAAATATTGCAGGAAATGATATGTGTGTGTTATGTGGAAAAGAACCAGAATTTCTTAGCCATTTATTTATGAGTTGTGAATATTTTGATTATGTTTTTGATTTTATTGAAAATACTGTTAGGAAATTAAATAATGCCAGACTTTTGAAAAATTATGAAACTTGTGTTTTATTGGATTTGAGCTATTTGTTACATTCCAACATTACAAGACTCATTATTTCGTTGTATACGAAGTCACCATATGCATATGACAACATAAGAGGCACTATTAACTTTTTTCACATAAATTGGATACCTATTATTGCTATTATCTAAATATGGCTTCAACATATGTATATTGATAATTTTAGATATGCCAAAAAAACTTGCATTATTTTGTTGAGTGATTTTAAATTATTGATTTGTGATAAATAG